TATTGTTCTTCGTGGAAGGCAAAAACTAAGTAATTTTTAAGGGGAATATCAATACCCCTTCAAGGAGTATCAATACTTGAGGTCCAATATCGATACTTAGATGGTTAAAATCAATACTGAGGTATTTTTGAAAACATCGAAGCTAAATATGGTATCCATACTCATAGGAGTATCGATACCCAGGGTAGAGTATCAATACTCCCCATAGAGGTATCAATACCATATTATTTTTCAAAATTCGAAGAAAATTTTGGTATAGATACAGTGGGCATGGTATCGATACCCATGGTAATTTTTGGGCAATTTTGGGTAATTGATTTGGGTATTCGGGTTGAGGTGTTTTGAGTTCGTATAAGCTATAAGTATTTAATACAAGTGAAAACAATCAAGATTGTTAATTTCTCACCTAGAAATCAAGAAAGATAAGACGACATAAGATTGGCCTTTGTGTGACACTCGGGAAATACTTCAAACACCTGAGTTACTCTAGCACTATGACGATCATCCTTTGTTGTGAGTATCTGAATATTGTTTGATGGTATGCATCTGATGCACATAAATTATGGGTTGTTCTGGTACGAAATCCAATGCACGTAAGTTCTAGAATCGTACCTTATGCTCGACTAGGTTTGGGATATGAGCTTCCGATGCATGTTGAATTCAGATCGTTACCCAACCTCTCAAGAATCTGTAATAAACTAAGAGCCCTAAGATATGATACATATAAGATTTCGATTCTTACCCCGAGGCTATCACATCTAGGTAGGCTAGTGTATGTCCGAGATGCACATAAATTCCCCCGACTACATCTAGGCCTATCTCATGTTTGTTTTTTACTTAACATGTTCATAACTTACACGCCGGCATGTTCATGTAATGAATGCATGTGGTATTGTTTAGTTATTCTTGTGGCACTGATCTTGTGATCTCAATGTATGAAATGTGCTTCTGTGCGCATGTTAGTATATGAATCGTTGAGGAAACTATCGCGTAAATACATTCCAGACCAAATGATTTGTAGAGTATGTCTTGAGTAATTGTTGAAGGCATGTATTTTATATGATTAGTACAATCAAGTCATTACTATATTTTGGTTTATACTCAATGTATGTATTTGTACATATTGAGAGACTCTCATATTTTTTAAACTTGATTTCAATTTCGAACAGTTTATGATGAATGATTTTGATGTTATTAAATGTTTTGAAAAGATAATTTTGGGTTAACCATTTTTAATGGTTTCGTGTGACATCGTAATCCATGGATCCTCGGGTCAGACTCGATTAGGGTGTTACATTTAGTAGTATTAGAAAGTCTAGGTTTAGTTGTTCTTAGGACCCACGGGTCAGAGTTAGTAAGTGCCTATGTGAGTACACGCCCCTAGAGTGTCAAGAATACTTAAGAGTTTGGAATGGCGTTAGTGACCTCTCTTTCCTTTCTAATTTTAGGATTCGATTATGGATGACGATGATGTTTATAGTCATGAGGGCCAGGAGGAGAGTCGTGCCTCATTGGTCGGAGATTTTGGTGATAAGTATGCCCCAGATTCTGAGCAGGAGATGTTTGCGAAAGCTGGAGTCGACGATGCGACCTTTTTCTGTAATATAACCTCGACCCTTAGGCAAATAGTTGGCACTATTTTGAATCTGTCCGATATGCCACCTCTCTCTCCTGTGCCACCCGTTCAGCCTGTTGTAGTGGCTCATGAGTCACCTATCAGAGGCTTCGAGTTATCAGACAATTGGCTTCTATGGATTTGGGGACGACGATCCTATCTCTATAGATTACTAGCTTAGAGAGATACTCAGCACGTTATGTTAGTTGCACCTCACTCTCGAGGGCAAGCTTGAGTGATTCACTACCCTTCTGAAAGGTGACATGATAGATTGGTGGGAGACTATTGAGATGGCAATGAGTCAGAGAGCCCCACTTAAGAGCTCTTCCTGATTGAGTTCAGGGAGAAGTACATTGGAGAGTTCCATACTAATGATCTGAGGGACCAGTTTCTACATTTGACGTAGGGTGACAAGACCATGCTTGAGTACGAGAAGGAATTTCTTTGGTTAAGTAAGTATGGGCCAAAGTTCATTTCGACGGAGGCTCACTGATATCAGAGGTTCAGGAAGGGCCTGTACTTGGATATTTAGACTTAGTTGGCAGTAGATCCCCCTCGTGTTTTTGTGGACTTGACTCGTCAGGCTAAGGTAGTTAAGAGAATTATGCTCAAGAAAACTCAAATAGCGAGTGACTCAGCATGTTAGAGTCAAGGGCTCCAAAGATTATAAGGTCGTCTCAACCATCAGTGAAGCGAGCCAATGGGCCATAGAGTTCAGGGAGACTGTCAGCATGGCCGTCTAGAGGGGAAACTGAAAGATCGGATCATAGAGGTAGATCTGACTCATATATGAGGCTTTTATCATCAGCTTGTGGTTTGAGTGCTAATAGGTCTAAATAGACACTAGCTCACCCAGTATGTGCGAGTTACGAGTGTAGACACCCCGAAGAGTGTTACCGAACGATCGAAGGTTGCTTCATCTTTGGGTCTTTAGACCATTTTGTCTGAGACTACTCCCAAGCTCAGGTCCTGTTTTATCTCAGAGATATGTGACATTCGTTTAGCATGGTTGAGGGTCCTTTAGTGGCATATCTGCTTTAGGATAATACAATAGGTTATCACCAGATTTCAGACCGTTCAAGAGCCTAGAGTAGCCTCGTACCAGTATGTCTTGCGTGCTAAGGAGTAGTGAGATCATGTGGATATGATTTCAGGTATCTTTATAGTTTTCTATATTCCTATCACTGCATTAGTAGATCTAGATTTCACCACTCCTATGTATGTTATGAACTTTCTCGAGAAAAGAATATTCTAATTGAGGATTTAGAAATAGGTCAGAGTGTCTAGTCCCCTAGGATTAGATGTATTGGCTGACAAGGTTCACCGTCGTTGCCCCGTGGAGCTTCAAGATAAAGTTTTCTTAGGCGACTTAATAGAGCTACTGGTTTGGGAGTTCGATGTGATCTTGGGTAAAGATTGGCTTACCAAGCATGATGCAAGTTTGAGGTGCAAGGTGAGATAACTCAAACTTCACAAGGATGATGAGACTAAGGTAGTGATGACCAGTGGGAGCTCGTTTTACTACCAAAGTCATTACGATGATTAAGGCTTAGAGGTTTTTGAGTCAGGGGTGTAAGGCTTTCTTAGCTCATGTTGTGGATATGTGGGTTTCTATTCTGATACTTGAATATATTCGTACCGTATGAGAGTTCTATGATGTGTTCCCAGAGGAGTTACCAGGGTTACCTCCTGACCGTGAGGTCGAGTTCAGCATAGACGTTATGCCAGGTTCAGCTCAGGTTTTCATTGTACCCTATCGCATGGCACCGACGGAGTTGAAGGAACTTAGGAATCAAATTCAAGAGTTATGGGATAGGGGCTTCATCCAACTGATGGTTTTGCCTTGGGGAACATCGGTCTTTTTTTTAAGAAAAAATATGGGTCGAAGAGCTTGTGCAATAACTATCGAACAAGTTGACTATCAAGAATCGCTACACTCTCCCTAGGATCGACGATATGTTCGACCAACTTAAAGGCACTTGTATGTTCTCTAAAATAGATTTGAGGTTAGGGTATTACCAGCTGAAAGTCAAGGATGCCAACATTACCAAGATCGTTTTCAGGACAAGGTACGACCATTACCAATTTTTTGTGATGTTATTTGGACTCACCAATGCCCAAGTGGTATTCATGGATTTAATGAACCAGGTTTTCCATCCCTACTTGAATCAATTTGTGGTGGTCTTCATCGATGACATTCTGGTGTACTCTCAGTCCGAAGAAGAGTATGATCACTATCTCCGTATTATTTTGCATATGCTTCGAGAGCGTTAACTATATTCTAGTTTGGGAAATGTGAATTTTGGTTGACTGAAGTGGCATTTTTGGGTCATGTTATCCCTAGAAGATTAAAATAGTGTTAGAGTGGGAATCGCCTAAAAATGTCACTAAGGTGCACATTTTCTTAGGCCTATAGGATATTACTGTTGTTTCATTAAGGGTTTCTCTATGATTGCAGCACCGTTGACCAATCTACTTCAGAAAAGAGTTCGTTTGTATGGAACCAGAAGTGCCAAGAGAGTTTTGACCGTTTGAAAGCCATCCTTACGCAAGCTCCCATTTTGACCCAACCAAAATCGGGTAAAGACTTTATCGTGTTTATGATGCGTTACTAAATGGATTGGGATGTGTCTTGATGCAAGAATAGAAAGTTATGGCCTATGAGTCTCATCAACTCAAGCCTCATGAAGGGAACTATCCTACCCATTATTTAGAACTTACCGCAATATTCTTTGCCTTGAAGATTTGGAGACACTACCTATTCAGGGAGAAGTATCACATCTTTACGGATCACAAGAGCCTTAAGTATCTACTCACTCAGAATGAATTGAACTTGAGCAGCGAAGATGGGTAGAGCTTTTGAAGGACTATGATCATAAATACCATATTGGAGTTGCGAGCTTTGCTAGAGCGTTTGATATTGACAGACACGAGTTGTCTTTTGGACGAGTAGAGAGTTGAGCTCGAGTTAGTCGGTGAGGTTAATAGGTTGCAAGTTTTAGATTACCGTTTAAATGCTCGAGTAGAACAAGTCCTTCGAGGTGAAGACCCATGTTTTGAGTTACGCGATGGACGTGTACTGTACTTTTGAGTACATTTATGTGTGCCAACCCACATAAGACTTCGTGACAAGATCCTTTATTAGGCACATTGTAGTCCCCTCTCGGTTCATCCAAGTAGGAACAAGATGTACCAAGAGCTTCGACCATATTAGTGGCTGGGCATGAAGAGGGAAGTGTTCGAGTTTGTCGGTAAGTGCTTATTATGCCAACAAGTCAAGGCGGAACATTAGGTTCCCTCAGGATTGCCACATCTGATTTAGATTTCGTAATAGAGATAAGAGAGAGTGGTGATGGACTTCGTAACCGGTTTACCAATGACGAGATTCTGACATGATGTTGTATGGGTTTTAGTGGATCGATTGACCAAATCTTCTTATTTTCTCCTAGTTCGTATGGACTACATATTAGAGAGATTGGCTCAGGTTTACATTTACGAGATTATGAGGTTTCATGGGTCCTCATCTCAATCATATCTTAAAGAGATTCGTGATTCACTTCTTAGTTCTGGAAAACATTGCATGGAACTTTGGGTACTGAACTGAATTATAGCACCGCCTTTCATCCATAGACAAACATGTAGTCCGAGTAGGTTATTCATATTTTAGAGGATATACTCAAATGCACCATTTTGGATCTTGAGGATAGTTGGAAGGATCACTTACTCTTGGTGGAGTTTGGGTTCAAAAATAGTTTTTAGGTAATTATTCAGATGGCTCCGTATGAAGCCTTGTATGGGCGCAAATGAGGAACTCGATTATATTGGACGAAGGTTAGCGAGGGCAAGATTATAGGTCCCGACTTGATCCAAGAAACTAAAGAAAAAGTTTAGTTGATTCAGAGTTAGTTGAAAGAGGCTTCTGACAGATAGATGTCGTATATCGATCTGAAGCACAAGGATATTGAATTTGTAGTGGGAGACAAAGTGTTTCTCAAGGTTTCCCCATGGAAAAAGGTACTTTGGTTTGCACGTAAGGTAAGTAGACCTTACGATTCAGTGGACTATATGCGATTTTAGAGAAAGCTGGGCCAATGGCTTATCATTTAGCGTTGTCTTCAGAGCTCGAGCGCACTCACAATGTGTTCCACGTCTCCCTACTTCAAAGATACCAACCAATCTGTCTCGTGTTATTCTCCTTGATCAATTCAAAGTGAGGCAAGACTTAACTTATGAGGAAGAACTGATCCAAATCCTTACCAGAGACGTCAAGGAACTATAAAATAAGAGGATACCATTAGTAAAGATTTTATGAGGAACCATGGTATTGAGAAGGAGACATGGGAACCCGAGGAAGATATGCGACTTTAGTATTCTTATATCTTCTGTTAGGTAAATTTCGAGGATGAAATTTATTCTTAGGAGAAGAGAGTTGTAATGTCCCGAATTTTGAGTTAGGTGTTTCGGGTTTGTTTGATCAGGCTTTGGAATAATTCTCCCTTAGTTTATGAATATTTGGACCCAAATAGATTTAATTAGGCTTAAAGTTAGCCCAACATCTTAAAAAGGGGTGTTTTTAATCTTGGGCTAAATGAGCAGGGGATAAGAGAGTAATTTGACCAATTTTTGAAACAAGGTTGAAATCCCATTAATTGGATGATATGATCGTCTGTTACATGCAATCTTTTTTTCCTTATCATTGCTTTGTCTTCTTCCTCTCTTTTTTACATATTATTTTCCTAAAAAATCCAACAAAGATCCACGCTTTAAGAAACCCAAGTATCCATTGTGAATTCTAAGGTGATAGCAATATCCTACATCTTCTAAGCTTCAATTTGAGCTCTTATTTGCAAGATTTGGGTGAGATATCCAAAAACGAGTTTAGTGGAGGTTTATAAAATCCTAAGTTCTTGTTCTTTTTATGAGTTTTAAGTTGTAAGAAAACGTTTCTAGCTTCTTCTTAAGGTTCAGAATGAGCTAACAACTCATTATGCTTAATTTGATTAGTGTAAGAGCAAGGGGAGCTCAAAAGATAGAGGCAAGGAAAAGCTAGTCCTTGGGTGATTTGAGGACATTTTTCAGTCACCTAGCTTCAAGGTAACACATTTCTAACTTGACCATATTGCATATAGGTAATGTTATGTGCATTTTGGTATGTTTACTTCATGAAGTATGTTAGAGTAAATTTATGGTGAAAGTTGTATTGGTGTGTTACAAGCATGAAAGTTGACACATTTTGACCTCTAAGACATTAAATAAAATTTTAAAAATATTTCTTAGTCTTAGGGGAGTAAATGGGTGAGATTTGGGTATGTTTTTGTGCTCAAAACAAAGCACTCAAGTCCGTCAGTATTGATACTGGAAGAAAAATATCAATATTGTTCTTTAAGGGGTATCGATACTTGAGGTCTAGTATTGATACTCAGATGATTAGTATCGATACTGATACGAATTCTGATGCATGTAAATTCTGGAATCGTACCTTATGCTTGACTAGGTTTGGTATGTGAGCTTCCGATGCATGTTGAATTTTGGTCTTCACCCGACCTCTCGGGAATTCGTAGTAGACTAAGAGCCCTAAGATCTGATGCATGTAAGATTTTGGTTCTTACCTCAAGGCTATCACGTCTAGGTAGGCTAGTGTGTGTCTGAGATGCACGTAAATTCCTTTGACTATATCTAGGCCTATCTCATGTTTGTTTGTTTACTTAACATGTTCATAACTTACGCACTGACATGTTTATGTAATGAATTCATTTTGTATTGAATATGTTTCCGTGCACATGTTAGTACAGGTGCAATGCCCCAAAAATTTATTGAAAGATTAAATTGAAATGATTTAAAAATACGAGGATTTATTAAATTAAATAATGAAAAACGAGGATGAATAGGATTCATAGCTTAGACTAAATTGTAAGAAATGATGATTAAAAGGATATTTTGGTCATTTGGATTAAATTGAATTTAATATTCAATTAGTGGGGAATTAAGATAAGAGATAAGATGAAGAGGGGAATAGGAAGTCAACCCTTTCATTTTCTTTTCTTCTTTCCATGGAAAACTCTCCCCTTCAGCTAAAAGATCAAAATCAAGCTCCCGAGTCTAGCAAAACGAAAGGCAAAGACAAAGTAGCTGAGTAATCAGAATTGCTTATTGGAAATAATAGCAAGATGAACCACGTGAGTGCATTTAATTATGTACGTACATGTGGTAATAGTTAAAATAATATATTTATTGATGTATGTATAATGATTACCGAATGGCACTTTGTGTGCTAAAATGATAAAGAAATCATTCTGAGTATATAGATTTCCATATGGAGCACTGAGTGTGCTAAATGATAAGGAAATCATATTGAAAATATGGATTTCCATATAGGGCATTTTAAGTGCTAAAATGGTAAGGGAATCATACTGAGTGTATGGATTTCTAGATAAAGCACTAAAGGTGCTACAAATATAAGGAAATCATACTAATGTATGGGTTTTAACATAGGACATTTCATGTGATAAAATGGTAACAAAATCATACTAATGGTATGAATTTTTGAATAGGGCACTTCATGTGCTAAAATGAAAGGGGAATCATACTAAGCGTATGATTTTCCAGATAGAGCACTGAGAGTGCAAATATTAAAAGGAAATTACTTGAATTGTATGAATTTCCTATGGAATGTATGGATTCCAATAATGATTAATAAACGAGGTTAATGGCATCAGTAATGCAGATTATAGTATATGCATTGGAATTAAAGATTCCTTGGAATATCAAAATATAAATTGTACGTAGAAATGTTATTTGTGATTAATTATGCCTCACTAAGTAATACTAACTTGTGTTTATTTCACGCGTAGGTTGAATACAACTTGTAAGGGGATACTAGGGCATTCAATCAAGGTCACCTCATCAGTAACCGTACGACATAATAGACTGTTTTAGTCGGCATGTAATAGATTTTAATAATATAAAAATGTTTTAAATAAATTTAAACGTATATATGTAAATGGTAATTTTATACTGATGAAAGTTTAAGTTTTTATGAATTTATATGTGTTTTATAGAAGTTACATTTTTATTCGAAATTTTTGTGCATCGGTACACTGTTCACGTACTGTAGCAATGCATCGGTACACTGTTCACTGTTTATCACACTGTACAACACTGTTCATCACTGTTCATAGTATTATTCATAACTATTCATGGTATTGTTCATACAATATAGTATTGTTCATGAAAACATATTTTTTTCAAATTTGTTATAACGAACATAATTCAACAATATATGATCGTATTTTATTATGATAAATTCAAATGTGTTGTTATTTTATAAGAACATCGTTTTAAAAAGTCAATGTGACACCTCATACTCGTATTCGGGTCGGGTATGGGTTGGGGTGTTACAAGAGGGATCGTTGAGGAGCCTATTCGAATAAGTACATTCCAGACCAGACAATTTGCAGAGTATGTTTTGAGTATTTTTAGAGGTCATGTATTTTATATGGACCATTGTACGATTGATTCATAACTCTATTTTGGTTTATACTCAATGGATGTATTTGTACGTATTTAGAGACTCTCATATTTTGTAAACTTGATTTCAATTCTGAAAAATTTATGGTGAATGATTTTGATGTTATTAAACGTTTTGAAAATGAATTTTTGGGTTCACCATTTCTTTGGTTCTGTGTGACATTGTAATCCATGGATCCTCGGATCGAACTATATTAGGGTGTTATACTCAATTGATGTATTTATATGTATTGGGAAACTCTCATATTTAAACTCGATTTCAATTCTGAACAATTTATGATTAATGATTTTGATGTTATTAAACGTTTTGAAAAGAAATTTTCGGGTTGACCATTTCTTTGGTTCTGTGTGACATTGTAATCCATGGATCCTCGGATCAGAATGGATTAGGGTGTTACATACCATACATTTTTATATTACCCAATTTAATATTATTTTTTAATACCTCACGCTGCCCAGGACGTGAAGTCATCGAGATATTGAATCGTCCTAAGAAATTTATCACGAAAAGTATTTATGTTCATCACGTTTTCCAAAAAGCAATGTATTTAGTTTTCCCAACAAACCATAAGTGCTTAATGGCATGTTTGGGGGCATGTTCGAGTATTTAATCTCAAATTTTTGTAACTTATAAGATTTTTCACATAGTATTGAAATTTATCTTTCAATTGAGGCTAATATAAAGACATATGAGATAATGTAGGCGGGTTAAAAATCATGGTAAAATGGTACCAAAGCTTATTTTATGGAATAATAAGAAGATACAAAATCGCGTTCAAAATGGATCCATGATTGGTTTTGTGCATACAAAACAAGCCAAAATGGCTCGATAGACATGGCTAGTATCGACACATACGAGACATTTTAAGCAGTGTAATAATCATGTTGAAAATTATTCGAAACAAAAGTAGTGCAATGAAAAAATACAATAAGGATGAGGGAACGAGCAAATGTGTACCATCTGTGGGTTTGATGCCTTAAGTAGAGGATGCAACTGGAAGAGAATGCCTTCTTAGAAACATTGTGGGTTTGATGGAGCCATGCCCACTACTGATAGATACATGTCATAAGCGATAAGTTGATGAAGCGACCAGAAGAGAATGTCTTCTTAGAAATGATTAATTTCTCAAGCGATAAGACGAGTGGCGGTGTACCATTTGTCAAATCAGCATCACAAGCGATAAAAGTTGTAGAGGATGCCTCCAGAAGAGGATGTTTTCGTAGAATTTCCCAAGAAGGTCGGGTCACTCATGTTTAATTGACTTTACAAATATACCATATGAAAGACAAGTTATAGAAAATTCACCCGAAGCAAATGTCTTTTATAAACATTGTTGGTTTGACAAAAAAGGTAGAATTTATGAAACAAGCATTTTGTCGAGAAGGTTATGTCTTTTATAAAAGGAATTCTCTTCGGGTGACATAACTTATAGCACCAATATTGACATAAGTTTAGTGCCAAGTTGTGCCACCAGGAGAAAAACCTCTTATAAGTATAGATCGTGTTAAAATTTATAATATCAGTAGAAGGAGGGGATATTTATAGTCAATAATCTCGCTCTATGCAAAATACGAGTTTCGAATAGATTTCTTACGTGTCAGGAAACTCACGCTCTGCAAAACACTAGTTCGGCAGATATTCCTGAGATTCCTGACGTTTTGATTTGACATGGCAAGTCTCGATTTAAAAGAAGCTAGAGAATATGTCTATAAAAACAAGACATGTGTCCATTTTGGATGAAATACCTTCGTAAAACAAATATTAAAGGTGGAATTTTCTGCAACTGTGTTCCATTCCGAAACTTATTTCCACACTTTCTTTAATGATAATATTAAGAAAAAATGGGTCGTAGATTTAATTTCACATGAGCTTAAAAATCTACAACACGAGTGATGTATTGTTGCAAGCTAAAGTTCTCGTGGGAAATATCGATATTGATAACTCTGTAAAAAGACTATATTTTTGTCTTTTTACTTAAGTTATTGGGTGTCTAAAAGCCATTTTCATAGCATTTTAGTTGTATTTAGTGCATTTAGGTCATATTTTCATGTGGTGGAGAAACTTTTGTTGTGACATATTTTTCTTGATAACACTGATGCTGCTGATAAGAAGGGTAGTTTGTTGGTGTTGATCGTGCATGTACGGAGAGCAACCAAGGAAATAATTTTTTTTTCGTGACATTTTGGAGCTGTAGGACTGAGAGACTGTAGATGTTAGCTATGAATGATTGTTGATGCTGATCGAGAGGATTTTCTCGTTGCGACAAGTTTTTCTTGAAATTCTAGACGTATAAGACAAATTAGTTGACGTCACGCGACCAATTGTCCAATGAGCCTAACGTGAACCACTACCCCCTACTGCTAATTTGGGACTACAACCAGCTTCCTTGTTGTCACATTTTGGGAATAAAATCAAGGGTAAATGAGGGAATTTCAAGGGTACAAAACCCTAGAAATTCCCCACTATAAAAAAATGATGTCCATATTTTAGGGATCCCTATAATTTCCATATTTTGAGCTTTTGGTGGCAATAACACAATTTTTTTTTTATCTTTTTCCTTCTTCCTTTTTGTGGTAACCTCCATAGCCGAGCTTCTTCAGGGTAGCAGCTAAACCCTCGAGAGAGACTAGCCCGTTGGAGCAGTCATGGTGGTGGTCTAGGCGTCACAATAGTAGCCCCGTATTGGGAGTTTCCTTCTCCTTTGCTTTCCGTTTTCTTATATTTGTTGGGCTTGTTTTCAAGGATTCTCTTGTTTGAACTTATCCACACCATGAACTAATTTATTTGGTGTTCAATTTGTTATGATTGATATTTTATTTCATGTTAATGGATGATCTTTAGTATGTTTATGTTTAATGTTGTTTTGTTCACTGTTTTAACTTTATGCATTGCCAATATTAGAGCTTTTGAGAGATTTCTATTTGCCATAGCCTAACATGCTTAGTCATTGCAAGAGCTTTCGAGATATAGTTGTTTTCTAAGTGTTGATTCCTAATATCGAGAGAGTTAGCTTAGATCTACGTGAACAAAGAAACTAATCTGGGATGATGAGGTTTTAATTTGCCTTAGAGATAAAGAGAGGGTTTTAATCGACTAAAAGGGATAACACTCAACTGATAGACTAGGTTCATAGTTTATGCCGAGAGGTATTGTCGTGAAAAAGTTTATTAGGTTCCTTACTAGAGATAGCCTAAGAACACTTTAGTAAATCCTGTCGAGTAGCATATGCATAGGTTAATCGATCATCCAGGCATAGAATAATTTCTTGCCATAGCAAGTATAGCCATTTACTCCATAGGTTCTTATTTTTATGAGGTTACCAGACCATTTCCAGAGCTAAGATAAATTCTTGTCGTAGCATATTTTTATTTTACTTGCTTCAATGTTTTCAAAATTTCTTGCCACGACTTAATTTTTCATTTGTTCATACCATTTCTTGCCACGACATAATTTTCCATTTGTTCATACCATTTCTTGCATGACATAATTTTTTTACTGTGTATACCCTTCTATATTTTACCTAGTGGCATCCCTTTGTTAAACATATTTTTAAAAACTTTCAATCCCTGTGGAGACGATACTCACTCACTACTATATTACTTGGTTGACTGTGTATACTTGCACATAATTGCGTGCCACATCATTATCTATTTACATGCTATCAAGTACTAAAGCACATTACATGTTGACCTTATCGAATACAAGAGACCTTCAGAAGTTGTTTAAGGCTTACACATGTGTAGGTGGTAGGAACATCAAGTTAACTGTAACATTTAAGAAAGAACCATATTCAACAAGCAATGGAGTAACTCGGTTATCATAAGACCATGAGGACAAAGAGCCAGTTCTGCTACGTATTGCCCGTGAACGTCAGGATAGAGAGCTTTAAACAACTCGTGTAGTTGTTTTATTATGTTTTTAAATTAGTATCAAAATAATTTTTGTGTGAGTATGATAATTCCCAAGTTATTTATGCATCAAACCGAATAACTAATTATCATATTATTCAAGGATAAATTAAACAAATTAATAATTTAAATTTGATTAATAATTTAAACAAATTTAAAAAACTAAAACATTATATTAAATAAATAATGATGCCTATGTCCACTCGTACCACCACTAACACCACTACCATAATCACCATCACCATCACCATCATTATCACCCTCATCTACATGGCCAGTACCACCACTTCCACTGGGACCAAGATCGATGTATAAATGCTTTGCGGCTGCGTATGCTCAACACTGTCAAATCCAAAGTATGTTGAGTTAATCGATCAGATGAATCGGTCAAGAGGGGGTGAATTGTCAATTAATATTTTGGTGGAAGCTTTGGCAGAAAATTGAAAATATTTACACATCGATTTAGAGTGGTTCAACTTTCTCAACCAAAGTCTACGTCCACTACCTTAGCTATCCACACTAAGGATTTTCCACAAATTCACTAATTGTCTTTCTTTTGAGGACAAAGAGTAACCTTACAACTCCCTCAAGAATTATACCCCAAATTCTCGAGACACTCTCTTCTCAAAGAGAAAATTACAAATTTTGCAAACTTACAAAAAAACCTCACAAGGTAGATTGTTTGTACAATTCTAGAACAAAGAAAGAACACTCAAAGATGAATACAATTGAGCAAAAATTGTGTTCTTGAAAGCAAAATGAATATTGAAAGGAATTTGGCTTGAATTGCTCAAACTTGATGTCTAAGGCTTTCTCTTTTGTTTCTCTAGCTTCTCTTGTTGATCAATGGCTTTAAGACTTGTTTAAATACCCCTTGAATGAATTTTAAACGTTTGGGGATGATCATGAATCAATACAGTCGTTGCGGTATGTTTTCCACTTCAAAAATCTGTTGGGAGTGTATGGGTATCGGTACCCCGTCATAGGGGTATTGATACAACCTGCATAAAATTTAAATATTTCGACCGTTGCAAACTGAGGGTATTAGTACCTCCCAAGGGGTATCGATACTCCTATGTAAATAAGTATCGATACCTATCATAGTATTGGTACCCATTTTGCATTATGTTTTTCTTGGAGTTAAAATCAACACTAGGGGTATCAATACCTTTGGGATAGGTATCGGTACCTCTTTGCATAGGGGTATCATTACCATGTGGGGTATCAGTACCCTTTTTGTATTTGATGTTTGAGGGGTATCAGTACCTCTTAAGAAGGTATCTATACCTCCCTATTTAAAACTCATTTTTGACTCGATTATGGTTCGAAATACTTTGTAAAAATTGTTTCAAAAATATTTTAAGAGTGTTTCACTCATTTCACTTAAGTAAGGAGTAAAATTGATATTTGAAAACTTGGAGTAATATTTGTGATATTCGATTAATTGAATCGAATATTATATTTGAAATTGAATATAAAATTTTAAAATCATTTTCACTTTATTTGTTATATCAAAACATCAAAATGTTTTCAAAAATCTCCTCCTTTTTGATATAACAAAACATTTTAGTAATTTTAAGATTTTATTTTTGAAAAATCATTTTGAAAATTACTCCCACTCCCCCTTACTATATTTCTCCCCCTTTTTGTTAAATAAAAAAGACTCTATGATTTTAAAACAAGTTTGCCAATTGATATATATATTTATATAGCTGTTAAGATCAAAGTCAAGAAAAATATTAGCCATTAGTCCATAATCAATACTCATAAACACTATGTAATGGTCATGTTTGATCTAAAATGTAAAGGATGCATAATTTAACATAAAAATTAAATTTAAGATCAAATACCAAATATCATTCAAACAAAACATCCAAATAAACACACATCCAAAACATTCAAGTTTAAATATCCAAATCCATCAAAATGTTTTAAAAATGTTTAAGTTCAAATTTCAACCTAAGAAAACTAGCAAGAGTACGATCAGTCATCCATAGGTGGATCGGGAGGAGGGAAGTGTGCTCACATAGAAGCCACATCTTGTGTAAGCGCATCGACCCTAGCATTGAATTTGTCAAAGCGAACTCGAGTTTCCATTTTTTTGCTCTAAGTGTTGAACCGTTAGTTGGGACTCTAAGGATGCAAACCTTAAGCCAAATGTCTCCATGTACGATCAAAAGTATGGAGGTATCGGACTCTCTTGCTAGGTTGGCTCATCCTCGAGCAAGTTTACAGGATCATTGACATCCCGTAGAAGATCGTCAAGGTCTTGAGCAGTAGACGGAGCCAGAGCAGCTTGTGAAGAGCTAGCACCAGGTGTTTTATGTGTTGAATGAACCCATTGATCCTTATCTCCAGTCCATCCCGGTTTACGTAAAGACGTAAAGTTGATTTCGGTGGTTAGAGGTATGATTGCATCAAGCTCTACCTTAAGATTGGTTTTCTTAAACATATTACTAAGAAGACATCCGTAAACTAAAGTTTTACATGTTTAGAAGAGACATTGTTTACGGTTTGAAAGAGCTCCCCAAAGATAATTTGAGGGAGATTTATTTTCTTATTTTTTGGATACAATGTATCCACCGTAAGTCAAGCGCTCTAAGAGTAGAGTATTTTTCTCCGGATGGTGTAAACCACCAAGAGATGATAAGATGAAGAAATCTTTCATGATAATCTAGAACACTCACACTAGACTTGGCTTTATAAGGGGTAGGTGCTAAATCTCGCTCGTTATCTAACCCTCGGTTATCTAATCCAAATGCACTAACGATATAGTCTAAGTTTATATTAATGTATTGGCCTAGGAGATAGGACCTAATACTTTCGATTGCGGTTCGAGACTCGTTTTGTACACATAACGTATTGGAGTAGAAAATGCGAACAAGTTGGTGATACACAACTGGTTCAACTTTAAAATGATTATCAAATTTCCATGATTTGAGGGTTGGGAGATATTTGAATTTCATGTCTATCATGGCTTGGAGAGACGGGATATGTTCTTCCCTAATATTATATGACTCGAAGTGGTTGACAAACCTAGAGAAAAGACCTCTACGTTAGGTTCATTAAAGCAAGAGTTTAGAAGAGTCATATCGGGTTCATTTGGATTGGGATTTGGTGGAGGAATATAAGGTAGATTTAGAGGTGGGTTTGATCGAATCGATGATGTCCTAGTGCGTTTAGAGTGAGTCATGGTTTACGAAATCGGAATAGGAATGAGTACCTGCAATTTAAGAACACATGTATGCAACACAATTAATCCCAAAACTCAATATGAGTCCTCAATATTCAAGGTTCTCTAAAAACTGACCTAATGGGCAATTTTGAAAAATATTTGAAAAATAAGTTTGAAAAATCATTATATGTATAATTTTCATTAAAAACAACATAATTAAATCAAAAACAACAATTTAAAAACAATTTTTTTCGAAAATTACCAAAAATTGAAAAATCTTGTGTTTTTTTTATGAAATTAGTTGTAGATTCTAGTTCTAAACTATAATCTATCAAATGCCCGATATCTATTTTGAACTAAACTAACTAAAACTAGTCTTATCTTCAAAAATCATTTTAGAAAATATTACCTTGAAAATTTGTATTTGAGTGGAATGTGTTGTTGTTTGCACTAATTTGATGAGTGTAGCAGGATTAGGAGTTGAAGAACTAAAAAATGACTTGTATTCGTTGATTTTGAGCAAGGAGAAGATTTGAGTGAGAGAGGAGATGAACGGCGACTTAAGAGTGCTTTTAGGAATTTAGGCAAGAAGATGTTATTTTAGGGATTTTAAAGCCTAAACCCAACAGGGGATATCAGTACTCATATAGGGCTATCGATACACATTCAAGGTGTATCGATACCTAGAAAGAGAGGTATCGGTACTGGGTGATAGGTATCGATACCTAGTGCACACAATTGTCAAAAATCTATTTTTAAACATTTAACATACAAAATTAATCAGCTCTAGTGGTATTGGCAACTCATATCACAAAAATTAACTATGTTCAATCAATCAAATCTATCCTTAAATTTTATTTGAACATATTATTAATTTTCACTAAAGATCATAAACTCTCCTAACTATTAGAATATAAGACATTCAAAATGTTATTTTTACATGCATTTTTCATTTGCTAATTAAAAGTGCTGAAAACATTTTAAACACTAAGTCAAGGCATGTCAATTAAACCTAATTATCTCATAAGTGTCCAAAATCTATCTTTATCTAAAGGTTTTGTAAAAATATTGGCTAATTGGTGCAAAGT